TATGAAGATGTTTAGAATGCTTCTGGATTAAAGCTCCTCATGATTTCATGCAGATCAGTGAATATTAAATGATGCAAAACTAGGTTTTGTTTTTATCTGAACAACATGGCTGCAGAATTTAAATTTTTAAAAATGAGAAGCTTGCTATTTAAGAATGACAAGAAAGAGTGAAACTTTACAGTATTCTTTCACAGTTTTATAATGCCATCTTCAGTACCTGCCTTTCATTCTATTAAAGGATATTCTTTTTTTTTTCTCTGTAAGCTTGTTTCTGTTGTACTTTATGTGTGGAAATCATATCAGTTCAATTAGGAGATAGATATATTCAGGACATGTAGCACCAAGGTATGTAAATCATATTCATATAGAAAGCATGTATGCACGCATAGAGGGAGCATTTTTACTGTCTGGTTTATGCTCTTTTAATCCTCTAGGTGCAGTTTAGCAGGCTAAAATCATGAGATGCATTTTGTATTATAATCAATGGATAGTAGCTGTAAGTCTATAGGAGTGCAGTTTAGGATAAACTACAGAAAGTATTTTAAAGTGCCCTAAGGTATTGCATACCTTGTGAACACTGTTTGCATAGTATGCATGGTGGAATAAAGTACTTTTAATGAGAAATTTGCTTATGTGTTGAGAGAATTGTTGCAGATTTACACATTTAATACTCAAAACTTCAGTGACAGTTGCCCAGTAGGCCTACATGAGGTTGTTGTTTCAAATGCATGAAACCCATGATTTTATTATTTATTTACTGTTTTAAAAATTTCTTTCATAGTACAGGATTGAAATTAAACTATGGTAGTAAGTGATATATCAGCATAAATAGCAAAATAGAGTAACTTTGTATATTGAGAAATCCTTGAATACATCGTGGGAATTAACTCTTTTGTACCAAATTGGGAAAGCATCTAAATAGTGTATAGACTAAATGATACAGCCTTGAAATTATTGGATGCTAATTTTGGCCTTTACCATAATAAACAATTATTATAATAGTTTATAAATCAAAATCCCTTAAATATTTTCTTTTTATATTTTACAAATTAAGAGAGAAATATGATAGAGAAATAACATATGGATTCTATTTCAAAAATGTGTCAGCCTGTAAAGAGAAAGGGAAATAATTTGGTGTCTTATGATCACTCATTGTTTTAATTCCATATTAATTTGTCATTTTGTAGCCATCTTTCTTGTTTAGGTTGCACAGGGATGATATATGTGCTATAGAAAGACTGTGTATTATATGTACTCAGAAAGAGTTCAGTATCTCAGTTGTTTTCTCATCACATGCTGCTGTTTGATTCACAGGTGTTAAATTCTTCCTTGTTTTTTACTTTTTGAGAAGAACCGTTATTTTTCTCTGTAACCTAGTGGCAGGATAACCACAACCTACTGGCTTATTCTGCACTCCAGAATGTCATGGCACAGCTCAGGGGAGCTGGAGTTCTGCTCTGTCACCTCTGATCTTGCAATGTCAGCCTTTGCATACACAGTTTTGAGACCTCATTGTTACTGACCTCTTGTTTTCCACTGTTTTCTCCAGTTTAAAGTGTAATTTTTGATTTTTGCAACTACATTGCTTTCTAGGTAATGGGACTTTTGATGAAAAAAGCATTTGCTTAGGGAAAGTAAGATTGATTTAAACACTAGGACTCCTAAGCAATAACGCAATTCTTAGTATTTCCAAAATACTCATACAAAAATTTAGCCAAAAGATTTAATCTGAGCTTACTAGTAATACATGAATATTTATATTTGGGACTGGCAATAGAGGACAAATAATCTCTTCAGTAAAAATGATCATACTGTTGCTTTGGGGGCAGTGGACAATAAAAAAGAAAATGTAGTCTGTTGTGCCATATTTATTTTGAAATTACCTTGCCCTGCATTTATTTTGAAGCTGGGTACCATTCATTGGGGAAATTATGATAGGAACACAGCAGTTCATATAAATAGCAAGGATGAAATGAAAAAATGAAAGCCTGAACAATAATGCAAGAAACTTTCTTTCTGGACCACAAGGATTTGTTACATTCAGAGAAGGTGGACTCTTAATTAGCTTCTGTCAACAAGCTGTTGGTAAAATAGATGGGTTATTTTTTAAGTTACAATTAACTGATTCTGTTTTGAGATATATATCATAAGTATCAATCAAGTTAAATATTTTGTATTATGAGGCACTATCTTTAGCACCATGAAATCAAATTGATATGGTAATAAGTAATTTCTAAACTAGATTTCAGGAAAATGTATTTTTGAGATGAATAATACAAGGTCCTGTGTTTTAATAGTTGTTATCTATGTAAAGAAAAATGACAGCGTGAAATGTAGGAATGCACGTCTTAAAATGTTCATTTACATTCTGTTCTCAATACAAAGGCATTGCTAAGAATATAATTTGGCGTTGTAGAATTAGCATTAATCTTTTAGTGGTTCCACCAGTCTATCATTCCATTGAATGATTTGCTTTCCATATTAAATTTAGTTTGGAATAGAGTTCTGCTGTTAGTTTCATGTTTTTGTAGAGGAAGAACATAGCTTATTTGATTTTGGGGTTTTGTTGTGTTTTTTTTTTAAACGAGTCAGCCTTAAAATTGTAAGTGATCACTTAAAAGCTTTCAGTAAAAAACAGCATGAGGTATTTTATTGCTTGTTCTCAGTATGCGTATATTTGCTACAAACTGACCACATGTAATTTTCTTCTGACAACCTGTCTGTAATTACAGTTGATTTCACTGTTAAGGTTTTCCTTCTTGATTTAAAAAAAAAGTTGTAGTTTATAAAAGAAGTATTATATACACTGTTACGTGATGTTTTTCTGGTTTTCTTCACCAAGCAGTGATAAGTTCCTGCAGGATATATTATTATAACCATTTTTTATGAATGACATATTTTGGAGGAGCTCTTGGAATTTTTTAAATTATTGTTTCTGATCAGCTTTTTATAATGATATCTGAAAGTATGCTATGTTCTCTGACTGACCAGCGATAACTATCTTATATTTGTCTCTAACTTTTTCCAGTAATCTAACACATTTTCTATGTGGGTCCAAAAGCCATTACCCAAGAGTTCGGGATGTTTTTTTTTATAGTTTGCTACTGGGTGTACTGAGAAATTTTACAGAATTATATGGATCATATTGTGAAAGAGATTATACATAGTATCCATATAATTCTGAGAAATTTCTCAATAAAATTTACTACATAAAATTACATAAGACTGTCTACTATCTGTTAACAGCATTAGGTTTCAGCATAACCAGGTCCTGAATCCCTTAATGTCTTTGTTATTAGCTAGAAAAATAGAAGTAGGATTTTTATTTTATTGCGGTTGTAATAAAAGACCTCTGCTGAATTGCTTTTAGATTTTTATTCCTTCTATTTGGACAAATAACATTTCATTTTTAATCCTTTCAATTAGTATTGAGTATTCTATATGTCAAGCTGCAGAATGTAGTAGTTTCTTGATGTCTTCTAAGTTGGGGTTCTGTAGAACCCAAGTTGTACATAGCTTGTAAACCTATAGACCTAATTGGTAATTTAACTAATATATTGTTCATAGAGTGCAAATTTGTTTGCCTGCACATGTATAACCATTATTTGAGTTCCTGACACTACCTTTAATTATCTTGGTCCCTTCCACATGAATCCAAGGAAAAGAACTGACCTTAAAGGCAGTTCTTTCTAGCAATATGTAACATACCAGAGACGATCCCTGTTCTAAAGTTATATTTTGGGGAATCATCTTTCATATTTAACGATTGCCTAAATATACCTGAAACGAGAAGACCATAAAGTAAATACTCTTTTAAATTGAAAGAAAGCTCTGTGTGTGTTGGAGAACAGTTTCAAGCAATTACGCGAGAAGTTAGATATTCTTAAATCAGCCATTGCTAACTTGTTATCAGGATCCTGGTGTTAGACCTTTTATTATTACTCAGTGCTTACCAGGTGCAAACATTATGATCTGGACTGAGAGGAAAAAAAAGGTATAATAATGTTGCCCACAGTATAGTATAATTGGTATTAACATTAATCATGATATCCATAATTCTGCAAAATTTGCAGATCACTTTCCTAAAAAAGTCCTTCATACAATCTGGGATTAAGGATTTTAAAAAAAAAAAAAAAAAATCTTAGTCTCAGTGGAAGGCACCACAATAAGTCAAGAATTTAATTTCTTGGTCATATTATTTATTTAACTTTGAATAGGCATGCTATTTATAAATAACTAGGAAATAAGATGGTAGATGTAGAAAAAGACTGAGAGAGGCAGACTTAAAAACCTATAAAGCTTATTGTCTGTTGTTACATAGGTAACTTTATTGTTAAGATTCTTCCCTTGGAATTTATTTTCTTCTGGTCATCAAAAGGAGCTCAAAAGATGTGCGTTAAATTCTCTAAAAAAAGCATACGGAAAATCTAGTTTTGCCTCTCCCTGATCTTGTCATAGATTTCCATATTTGAAATTAATAACCATGCTTGGTTGAAATTATGGATGCAGTTGCTTTAATGACTCTGGTAAATGCTTAAGAAAACACGAATCCTAGCAAGTAGATATCATTAGTATGTGCTTAAACTGCTCTGGGCAATAGGTGCATTTTTCCACTTTCAGATTTCAGTTTGTGTATATTTATACATACTTATTTTATTATTATTTTTTTAATGCCTCTGAGAAGTTTATAAGAAAGGTAAGTAGTGTCTTACTTAATTTAAAACATTTTTTGAAAATGCTGTGGTTTTACTTAATTATAATAAAAATTAGATCACAATAAGAGTCTTTGACCAAGAACAATATTAGTTTGCTGGCAGTTATTTGGCTGTTGCTGTACCTACTTCATTATTATGATTTTTGCCCAGCATATACATTTCAGAATTTTCTTGAATATTTGCACTTATTACTTGAACTGTATTAGTTCTTCATGTTGCTATGTAATTCTGATGGTAATCCATGCAGTGCTGTGGAGTTCTGACCTTCTCTGTCATGTTCGGTAGGCAGCTCAAGGGGGTGGTCACAGAACTCTGCTGTATGGCCATGCTGTACTACTTCGACATTCGTTTAGTGAAATGGTAAGTGAAAGAGCATTTGCGCAGAATGAGTAACATGAAACTCAAATAAAATTCTTTTTAATAAAATAAAAAATACATAAATTTGGAAGAATTTATCTTTGGAAGTTCTCTTCTGGACGAGATTAAAAAATTTGAATAGCTTATGGTGTCTCAACACAATGGAAGTGGCCCCTGTGTTTTAAATTCAGAATCTTCAATCCATTTCACTTAGAAGTGTAGCTGGAAAGCTCCTTTAGCCCTGGATTATTTCTGTGTCCTTAAGGAATCCATTTTAATGATAATTCCATTAGCAAGTTGCTGCTATCGCAAATGAATTTGTTGTGACGTGGGTTTTTTTCTATCATATTTTATAAGATAAGGTATTCCTTTTAACATCCCATAGTTCCCAGAGACTATGCCCACAGACATATTATCTTCAGGCTACCTTGTATAAATTTTGTTGCACTACATTGTACAACTGGAAAATTTTAACTGTTCTGGATCTTTGACTTATTGGGGCCCATGCAAGTATACCTAATAGGAGGTTGAAGAAATGAGAAGTCAAGAAAATACCTTCCCTCCTTTTTCCTGTACTAGAAGACTCTACATTAGTCTTTGAACTCTGTTACTTATGTTTATGAACCATACAAATTGTAGTTGCCTTGACATACCAGAGTTGCAAATATGACTACTGCCTTTTGGTATGTTTGTTATGTTTTCATGAAGCAAACTTATTACAGCAATGTTGTAATAAGATGTTTGCCTGTTCCTGTCTGATGAACTATGTGAAACTTTGGAAGGTAGGAGCTAAATTGCACAGAGAAATATATCCGGAAGTGGAAAAGAATTTTTAAAGTCAGGAAGAGCTTGTATACAAATAACATCATGCATAACTAAATTAAAAAAATTAAGCACAGGCTGATAGTAAGACAGAGTAATGTGAATGTATTTATTTGGCACGTGTGTTAATGGATACTGTTGGTTTTTTGTTTTCAATAACTTCACTATTTTGCAGTATTTGACGTGTTTAACATCATCAAGATCCCAGACGGATAAACTTGCATTTGATGTGGGACTACGAGAAAATGCAGCAGGTATGGCAAGTTATTTTTGAAGGAAAACATGTCACACATTTCTGGTTTTAGAAGAGGCATTGAGATTAATGGCACTGTAAGCTTATGAATGTCATTTTTATGTGTTCATTAGAAATAACAGGACTGAAAGTAAATGATGACTGTCAATACTGATGACTTTCAGTAAATTAACTGACTTTGTGTAAGAATGTGAGAGTGCCTTGCAATTAAGCTGAGTTACCACAGCTGCAATAACACTGGTGAAAATGGTCAAAGTCAAAAATTTCCACTGAATAAAATAAATTTGATGCTTTTTTTTTTCTATTTGTATGGTTTGGCACTTTCAATAGAATTAGTACGGAAAAGCCATATATTGGTGCATTCACAATATACATTGTAACCATGCAACAAAAGAAGTATGCAACTTGTAATGCAGGAAAACAAGAAAAAATGTCATCAGCACATTGCTAAAAGAGCTGAAGAAAAAATAAAAGCATGAAACGGAGCAAGATAATAATGGGACAGAGTGGAAGAGATACAACACAAACAGGAAATGATGAGAAAGCTTTAAAATCTAATTAATAAATTGCCGGGAGTATTGCCAGTAACAGTGTTGCCAACAGAAAAGTAGTAAAAAAAAAAAAATTGTGCTTTCGTGAAATCACATATAAGTTATGAGATGCTATTGGGAGCTATGTTAAAAGAATTTAAAAGCAACTCAGCCACAAAGAGACACAAATAGGTTTACGTGCTGCTGTATACATAGTGTTAATGGTTACTGAAAATGATGAGCACTCATCAGAAAGTAACAGGTGACCCTGTAGTACCCAGCCCCAGACATACACCTTGAAGGGAAAATCTAAGTACCTGTATACAGACCTCATTAATGTGAAGTTTCAAATAAAGAAATGCCAGTTGTATTAATATAAACCTGTGCTTCCTATTGTTTTTTCATTATTTTTAAAATAAAGTAACATCAAAATAGTCTAATGATGGAGAGGCAATGCCAGTGTAGGTGTTAAAACATTTGTGGACCATGATCTTTGAAACTTCCTTTTCAAGTGACTGATTATCTGCATGACCTTCTGGTTTGAATGAGTGAAGTTTGTCTTTCAGTTGTTTGTAGCCATACAGAAGATGGTCTCAGACAGATGTTAGCAGCCTGTTATTTGGTTATATCTTTGGTTGCTGCCTTAGATGGACAATTTTCTTTAGGCATGTTGATAAAATGAATATATGTGTTCTGTCTCTCTGAATGTAGTTTCAGCAAAATCTGTCTTTATAATTTTATAGGTTTTTTCAGAGTTATTGTGCACATGTCTGCTTATGCCCATGAGGTTTTGTAATGAATATCTGTAGTTGTCTCATATTGGTATTTGCTTAACTGTACATATACAAAGACCCTTGTACACATAGGTAAGATATAAAAAGCAGCACATAAAACAAATGCTTAGTTGTGTTTCTGCACAGAGGATTTTGATAACTACTGCATGCTTGTAAACCTCATAAACTGAACCCCATAATATCACTTCCCCTTGCCCTACTCCCCCACCCATGAAACTGTCCTATTGAATCAATTTCAGCTGCAGGAAGTATTCTTCACCTAGGAGGTATTGAGAAAAAAGCCACTGGATATTTAAAATTATTATCTTTCAAAGATTTAGGAATTTACACTTTTGCTTTTAGGGATGTAACTTTATTTATTATCTTCTTTATAATTAGTTTCATAACTTTCAAATTTTTTTTTAAGGAGGTTTTATGTGACATTTCTTAGTTGATGAAACAGATTTTTTGTGCTTTGTCTTATGCTACCAATTTTGCCTTTGTTTAATTTTCTCCCACTTTGCATTGCCAAGTGAGAAAGCTGTATTCAACTCATTTTCTTCAGGGTCTTAACTGAACTATGAAGGGTGTGAAACTGTGGAATGAATTAGGTCATCTTCCCAAAATCGGGGCAGGGGGTGGGGTGTGTGTGCAAAGTAATCTGGAATCTTACATTTAACGTGTAGGAAATTTTCTATCGTCACTCTTAGGCTTGGCTGTCCTGTAGTCAGTATGGTCTGTAGTGCTAATGGAACTGCTCCCAGAACTGGTATTTGTAGTGTAGCAGTGTTGTAAAGTTATGGAGTATTTGTTTCAAAACACTGTATTCTACAACATAATGTAGCTTAGCGTGGAAATGATACAGAAGATTGTGAATTAAATATGAACATTAAGTAAAAGAATACACAAAAGGTGATAATTAAGACTGAGGTAGCTGTCAGCAATTTAGTGGCAGTGAGACCCTTGAAGGGAGGGCAGTTCTGAACAGTTTTTTGTAAGAGGTTAGTTGCTTTAAAAAAACATGAGAAATACCAGCTTCAGTGATGACAAAGATTGGTTGACAAAAAGTTTCAAGGAAAAAGAAAAAAATTCAAATGGATTGAAAAGGGTAATGAGGTGGTTTTATAAGGTGAATGTCTTTATAAGACACAATTCTTTATTATGTTATTTCAGTGTTGTATAAAGATATTCTTAAATTTCTTGGGAGTTGTCCATTTTGTATACCCTTGATAAATATCTCTGTCCTTTAGGTGAGGCATGCTGGTGGACAATACACCCTGCTTCTAAACAAAGATCAGAAGGAGAAAAAGTTCGAATAGGTGATGATCTTATCCTGGTCAGTGTGTCCTCTGAAAGATACCTGGTAGGTTTGTTTGTTTAGCAAGTGGACACATGGTGGGAAAATACAAAGTGCTGTGAGGAGTTGGGGAAAATGGTTGGGATTCTTATGAATGAAATTTTTTCTAATCTGAGAAATAATGCCTGGTTGTAATGCACTTTTTTCTCTCAGTGAAAGGTTTTCCCCCACCCAGAACAAGACTGTTTCTATGTCTTTATCCCAAGGTGTACTTCGATATTCTCCATCTTGGGAAGTTTTTATTTCTGTAACTCTGGAAGATTTCTAAGCTGCAGCTGAAGTCTGCTGATTAGATTTAGAAAAGAGTTCATTTTAAAAGCAAGTGACTACTAATTTTTAAAGAATATTTGTGTATTTACTTCATTATGCATTTCTATTTTGTTGAGAAATTAATATACTAAATATTTTTAAGTGCATAAATGTCACTGTTTCCTGTTACTGTCATCTTATTTCAGCATCTCTCCATGTCAAATGGAAGTATTCAGGTGGATGCCTCCTTTATGCAGACACTATGGAATGTACATCCTACATGCTCAGGAAGCAGTATTACAGAAGGTTTGTCATTTTATTTATTTAGAAATGAGTATGCTTTAGTGTGTTTTTTAAGAATATTTTCTCAATATCCTTTGTGGATCTCACAGCCATGCTTCCTTATTGTGTCTCTGTAATAGCCAATGAAAATGAGCTCTCTAAATGCATCCTCTTAATCAGCCTTAAATCCCACACCGCAGGGTCAGGATTTTGTTCTAGGTACTTGACTGTGCTTTACAACCATGGTTGAGAAGCATCACCTTATTCTGTTTGAGAAATGTCTTGTTCTGTAATGAAAGGTTCATCCACTCAATATTGCTCCTTATTTGAATGCCATACTCTGTCATGAACACTGTCATAACAAACATTGTACTTTGCCCCTGCTGTTCTCTGTTTAAAGTATCAGCCATCCACATTCATGAACGGTAGATGTCTTTAAGTCAGGATTATTTTGTGTCACTTGGCCCTAAAAACTAACCATTTATGATATAATAACATACAGGATCATAGGAAAAAATGGAGCTATAAGGGACCTGAAAGACATTGTATTTTCCCTGGGGTCAGCTATACTAAGTCTTGATAGAAGTAGACTATACTGGTGCTAAAGACTAAGTCACTAGGCTTATCTAAACTATGGTTGGGTCCTTCTAACCCCAAGTGGTTTAAATCAGCATCCCACAGTGTTTCTGTGCACTGGCCCATAAGAAACTTGCCTCAGAGTGTTTGCAGGTTTTCATTATAAGAGCATATGGGATATGGATTTTCCTTGTAATACTTTCTGATTGCTTTCTGTTGCAAGAAGTGTATTACGCTGGAGCTGTATGTTTATAAATGGCTGTCTGGTCCCCTGCCATCATGGGTGATAAATAGAATAGAGGTTAACTCTGGAAAAGTCCCTGTGTTCTCAGGTTTCACAGGTAAGACAAAACCAAGCAAACAGAAAAGCCATCCTATAATAAAATTAAAAACTTGTAACAGAAGACAAACATAATGAGCTACACAGAGAGATCATGAAAGATCAGTGGTATATTTTAGATTTCTGTAACAGCAGGGATTTGGCAGCTAAATTTCCTAAGTGCTTAGAGAATCACAGAGTGGTTGAGGTTGGAAGGGACCTGGTCCGGTCCCCTGCTCAAGCAGGGCTGCCTAAAACAGGTTGCCCAGGACTCTGTCTAGACAGCTTTTGAGTACCTGCAAGGAGGGAGACTCCACAAGCTCTCTGGGCAACCTGTGCCAGTGCTCAGTCACCCTCACAGTGCAAAAGTGTTTCCTGATGTTCAGACCCTCCTGTGTTTCAGTTTGGGCCCATTGCCTGTGGTCCTGTCGCTGGGCACCACTGAAGAGACCCTCACTCTGTCCTCTTCACATTGCTGATATCCCCCCAGAGCCTTCTCTTCTCCAGGTCAAACAGTCCCAGTTCTCTCAGCCTTTCCTCATGAGATGCACCAGTCTCTTAACCATCTTAGTGGTCCTTTGCTGTACTTGGAACCCTTGTTCTGTGTAGCTCAGAATGGGACACATAATCCAAAACTACATAATCAAAAAAAAAGAAAAAAAAAAAGAGGATAGGGTGGGGTAAGCAGAGAAGTAGGTTTTCTGTGTGTCAGTTTTTTCCCAACTACTTAGGCTTAGGTTTAGCTGTATATACACTTCTCAGAATGGTTTACATGAGGGAAGATCATATGTCAAAAGACTTAGCAGCCTAATGGATGGACAGACTGAGAAAGTGGGATTTCCTGAGTTTGATATTGAATGGAAATTGGGCAACATATTTTTTTGTGATGTTTGAAGTACTTTTGATGAAACATAAATATCAGGAAAGTATATTTTTTTTGCATTCTTTCTTCTCTTTGACCTTTGTATTAATTGACAACAGGATAATTGCCAGTTACTATTTTCCTAATTTACAAATTTATATTGAATCGGACGCACAGTGTGAAGGTTTCCTTCTACCCTTCCTCCTGTATGTGTGTTTGTTTTTTTAAAAGGCATTAATTTCACTGACAAGGTCAGAACAGTTTGCACTGAGGGTCTAATGAATCATTCTCCTCCTACACCATTTTTTTTCTTTTCTTTTTTTCTGTGAGTCAAAATGCCTGGTTTTGACCTGTAGTCTTTGTGTTAAATGGGTTGGAAAGTTAGCTTCCATTAAACTTAATCTTCAGAACTGCTAAGTGTTTTTCTGTCCTCTGTCTCCTGCTGCTGCTGTGCAGCTTTGATTTTAACACAAATTATAAATGTCAGAACAAACTGATGAACTTACCAATTTATTTTGTATTGAGAATATGTAAGTTGTATTAAGGGGGAGGAAACTGTGGTATTATATACTTGATTTGGCTTTTACCTAAAGCATTCAATTTTCAAACTGGTAATTGTTGCAGAAGTTTTTATTTTCCTTTTCTGTCCCAGAATCCTTATTTCATTTTTAAATATCAAGAGGTTGCTTTCTTTTTGTCTTCATTTTCAGAAGAAATATTTTTAACTGAAAAAGATTAAAAAAAAAGTTGTCATACTAAATTTGTTCTTCCCATTTAATTTCAATTATGAGTGAAAATTTGGAAAACAGATTTCATGTAGGTCTTTTGAATTTTTAAAATTTTTTTGGAGGGTGTTATTTTCATATTGTCAGTCTTTAAGCTAATGGGTAAATGTGTTTTTTCTACAGGATATCTTCTGGGTGGGCACGTAGTACGTTTTTTCCATGGCCATGATGAGTGTTTGACAATTCCATCTACAGATCAGAATGATTCACAGCACAAGTGAGTGGTGGTGCATTTTTATACATTTCCTTCTCTCAAAAAAGCAATAGACTGTTGATTGTCAGTTGAATTTGAGGTTAGATTAGAGTTAAACACTCTTTACAGCAGTCTTTAATTAGGCAGTGACCTTGCTACAAGAAGTTGAGACCTACTAAGCAGAAAATCAGTCACAAGTTCTTTTATTGCTGAAATTCATGTAGTTGATTTCCACTGAGATTTCAGCCTGTTATGTTGTTTGTCCTTTAATGTGTACTACTATAAGCAGAGGTAAGCAATCATTAGCAAGGAAGATGGTAATTTAAAAAAAAAAGCCCTAAAAAATCTCTGAAAGTTTGGCCTGTACAATGATTTTCATATTGTATGTATTTTTTTTTTTGTTTTTGCACCTTTTTGCAAGTTCTTGCTCTCTGAAATTTGCTTAATATGTTAAGATAATTATATCATGTTAGCTAGACTCAATGACTTTTGTATTAAACTTAAATCTATAGTTGTTATATATTATGTTGATTTATTATTTGAATTTAACTTTGCATTTTGCTGATGCAAAAGCACAGCGAGCTAACAATTTTGATACACAAAACCCCCAGCATTAAAAATCATATTCAACAAATAAGATATTTATAGCCGTTGTGACAAATAAGTTATGCTTTAGGTAATACGCTACCACAATTAACATTGTTACGTCAAGTAAACTTTTCATCTCTAATTTTCCATTTTTACATTTCTGTGGAGTAAAAATGTCTTCAAAGCCAAAAGAAAACCCAAACTGAATGTCAGAAAACTTCACTTGTTGGTGAATTTTTTTTATTGCTGTTCTCTTCATATGTGTATAGAAAAAAAATATACAAAGTTTGCACTGAGTGTGAAAATGTGCACGCATAGTAAAAAAAATACTAGCAAAAGCAGTAGGATCTAGATATCTTGTGTGGAACAGATGTCATACTCAGACTAATTTTATAAACAACCAGTCTTAATAAGGTTATAGTAAGTGTTGAGCCTTTTCAGTATGTTCAGAAATGCTGTACAGCTATTGCTATTACTTATCTAGAAGTCAGATATAGTTAAAACCAAAAATAATTGTGGAGTTGTATTGCCATGTGTGATGTTCTTAATATATGTTTGGTGCGTATTGTTACTGCCTTAAGCTCTGCTTCCATTTTTTTACAACTATGTAAATAAAACGGTAAAATAAAAAATGGTTATTTTTCTGAACAAAAATCTCTGTATTTGTATTCCTAAAATAGGAAAATTATGTGAATACTATATGGAACATTTTCAAATGTATGATAGTGCTACAGTGTGCTAAGATTGATGATTTGGATTTGTCCTATCTTTTGGATTTGTGAGTTGCATAATAGACATAAGGCCAAGTTTGTACTGTGTCATAGTTGTAGAAGTCACGTTTACATTACACAAAACAAAATGAATACATGAAAAAACCCAGATATCAATAGGAACAGGAGAAAGAGCTGTAGAAAGTGGTTGTGTTTATTTCTATCTCTTTGTTTAATCCTAATGCATTCCATTAGGACTATTAAATAAGTTAAGTTAGGCAAGAGTGATAATTTCTCTTTTCATAGAGCAGACATTCTGTAGAGAATGCTCCTTAACAATTCATACAGTGACTGTTCTCTGCCAAGAATCTTAAAGTCTTTTATTACAGGCCAAGTGAAAATACAGGGGATGGACTTACTGAACATCAAAAAGGCAAGCTTGGCAAAAACGCAGAATAAGATGGAAGGATGGATGGATGGAATCAAGGAGAAGATGAAGAAAATATTATGTGGATGCTGTTGTGAAAAAGCAGCAATTCTCTTTTACTTGCAGTTTTGTTACTGTAAGAGCAGGTCACTAATGCTAGTAGAGTGTTACATATAGAAAAAGATGGAAAAAGGTTAGAGAATTTAAGTCGTATAGGAATTCAAGAAGTATAAAAGATGAACAGAGACATATCTACAGTATTCCTTCAGTGAAGGAATGGTTGAGTTGGGTCAATGAGAAAGGAAGGACATCAAAGAGAATGGAAATGAATTATTGGTTTTGAGCTTAGCTAGGAAGAGGTCATTAGAGTCTGCCAAAAGTAACATCAGTAAGGTGAATGGGATGAAAGAGGATCTAGGATGAAAACAGAAAAGAAAAACTCCAGACAGTTATTGTGTATTCAGTCTATTCATAGAATCATAGAACAGCCCAGGTTGGAAAGGACCTTTAAAGATCATATTCATAGAGTCTGGAAATGAAGATGAATTGATTGCTATTTCTTTTGTTGTCATTTTGTATTTTGATTCTAGAGTATCAAAAACATTATTACAGAAGACAAGATGTATAGGAAATGCTACTACCTTTACTATGAGGAATATATATTCTTACTCTTATGGTTCACTGTCATTTTGAAATTTTTGAAATCGCGTGTGTGTTCTTAAATGTGGCTCCTAGATAATGCACAGGTGTAGATCTACAAGTCCATCATCTTATAAAGATACTGGATGCAAATAGTTTTTCACACTCCGGTATACTTCAAGTTAATATATAGATTCTTGTTGGAATGTATTGGTGTTGATCAAGAAGAAGAATATCAGATAAATCAAAACCTTAAGTGTTCTCAATAGAAGAAAAGTTGTAGAAACACTTGCTCAGATAAGAAAAACACAACTTTCATTTCACAAGTTGAGTTCCAGGTCCCATAGTTGCATGAGAACAATGCTAAACAGATACTTTTTTTTTTTTTCCCCTGTTAACTGTTGGAAAAGAATTTGACGGTCTGAAAAGCCAGTTAAAATTCTGCATTTACAAGTGCTACTTTAATTCAGAACAGACTGTACAACAGCTAGTTGTGACATTTTTATGTAAGGATGTGCAGCATTCAGTCAAGTTTGCCAGAGCAGGAGGGAAGATTTTAAATGCTCTTGCTGCACCTTTTTTTCAGATACGTAAGGACAATAGAAGGTCCAGCTCCCATGCATGCTAGGGTGGATTAGTCCTGTTCACAGGAATACGCGTAAGAAAGTTTTTCATCTTTCAGTAATCATTCATGTCTTGTTGTCCAAGCTCCAGAATTTGTTTAACCTTTCTCATATATAATGGGTATAGGAAATACAATAGATAATAGTAAAGATCTTGATCTGAAACTCAGGATACATAGAATCTTTTCTTTCTTCTTTAATAAAAGCCTTTCTCTGCTGTACTGCTAGGTTTTTATTTTTGGGGAGGGGGGTTTATGAGGTATAGACAAAATCCTTTCCTAAGAACCAAAACACAATTTGAACCTTTTTTTTTTTTTTTTTTTTTTTTGTACCTTAATCACGTTATGATACAGTCATTTTTCATTCTGCATTATTCTGTATTTTTCAGTTTGACTGTCTTTATGGTTTGGGGTCAGTTCCAGTCATTTTAATTAAACAATGAACAGTGGAACTGTTTTCTTCATCTTTCTTCACCCCTTCTTTCATTTGGGAAACGGAAAAACAGGTCATATGAATTATTGTTCTTACCTCTGACAAAGCTACAACAGTTTATCATTAGAAATTGAAGAAAACATTTAAGAATAAGCATGCATCAAATGATCTTGCTGAAAGGTTCAACCAACCTCTCCTCTAGGTATCAATAAATAAATATATGAACAGAAAGAACCACTGCCAGAAAAGTTTAGAAATACAAAACAGGCTGTCTGTTTATATTGCCCTAAGAAAAACTGAAGAATCCAACAAGCTTTTGGAAGTTTGCTGCGCTTTTGAAAAGACGCTAGTGAATCAGTTTGTTTGCATCTAGAACAATTTGCTTGTATGTGTGAACCCTTCTCTCTTGCTCAAATTATGAAGGAATGTACTGCAGTATATTACAGTTATTAAGAATGTGATTTTCTTATTGATGTCTGCCTGGAGGACTCGGTTTCTGACCAAACTCACAGTTTGCACATAGATGTTGTCATGTCACTTTTTCAAATGAAGAAGTAGGCATAGCAAAAAATAATTGTGTCATCCTCTAGTACTATTTTGCTGTGTGAACAGGCTTCTGTTCAGTTAGAACGTCCACTGAGCATTTACTACCAGTAACAGGACATTTCATTTTGTCATATGATGATGGTGCAATAAACCCTTACATAGTACAGTATGAAGGACAGCTTAGGAGTCACATTGTGAAAGCAAGGCCTTCACTCTAATACAGTTTCCCAATAGGAGTAATGTTGCAGATAGTAGCCTAAAAATGTGTAAAAGAAATTAAATTTACTTAGTTAAGAGATCTTTAAAATAGTTTAAAATATTTAAAAATAGGTAAGGTGCATGTCAAACTTCCCAAATGATTATTGTAACTAAATAAAGTATTTGATTAGAAGTTTATTATTTCCTAAATTTTTACTGTTGCAGAATGTAACAAATACAATTACTAAAAAAAAAAAAAAATTAAAAATTATTATTAAAAAAAAGGGTTCTGTGTACCCTGAGTTTCAGATCAAGACCTTTCCTATTATCCACTGTATTTCCTATACCCATTATATATGAGAAAGGTTATACACATTCTGGTGCTTGGATGACAAGACATGAATGATTACTGAAAGATGAAAAACTTTCTTACATGTATTCCTGTGAACAGGACTAATCCACCATAGTTTGTATTTGATTATTGAGTAGAATGTTATTTTCAGCACTAAAACATGTCACTAACCCGTGGCCATTAATTCAAGAAAATTAGATTATATTAACAGCTGAATCCCTTCACTTCCTGTGTTTTTATTTCTCTGAGTTTCCTAAAACTAATACATAATTTTATCTGTATTATCTGTTTTGTAAGGATTATAATACAAAATTTTTTGTTTTATCACCACCATTTTTGTCTTTTAGTAAGAATGTTAAAGTAATTCTGGGAGTGAAGTCTCTGATGTCGTATTCATGCAGATAATCATTAAAGTATGCAAATGTGTATACTTATTTTAATATTGTGTTAATATGTGTTTAAGAGCATTAGTAATTTAGATTAATCTCTTGGGAACTGTATGAATTACATATTTTTATGACTGGTTAAGTAACAGCAAAAGTTTCTCAGCTACTTTGAAGGCAAAGTATTTTATCAGCTCCTGAGAGAGAGCAGCTTAATGGAGATAGCCTAACTTACCTGGGACATTCAGATTGTGTATTGTGCTCTCACTGTTGAGTAGGAATCTTCTGTCCATTCAACTCCATCTGTTTAGCTGGGGAGAAGAAGTGAGTCCTATACAGTTTACAGAGGAATAAGTTATAAATACTATGTAGCACAAATAAACACAAGAGGATGATCTTCTGAATCTTTTCTGTAGGAAAGTACTTTATGAAACTGGAGGAGCTGGCGTTCGAGCAAGGTCTCTGTGGAGAGTAGAACCCCTTCGAATAAGGTACTGATATTTTTTGAACTTTTTTGTTAGCAGCTCTTGTTGTGTTAAGAGCATTCTGATTGTTACAGAGCTTTAAGGCAGAACGTGAATGATATATGTCCCGCTATACGATATATGTTAGTATGTTCATTGTCAATAATAAAAAGTAATAGACCATGATGTAGTCATATGGGGAATGTCAGTATTTTAAAACTTTTTTTTTTTGGTCTGTGTCCCATCTATCTCCCTGCTAGGTGATTAGTTACCTGTTAACTTGTTGCAAGTGAAATTTTGATATATATCATAAGGGTATACATGTTTTAACTTTGATGGCCTTCTGACCTGTATGTTTTACTCTTAGTGTGTTTGTGATTGCAAATGAAACACTCTCATAACTAACAGAGATGTAGTATAGTCCTTTGGAATGTCTGAAGTCCTCACTTAGGTTTAATTCATTTGTTTAGTCAGTCAACTGAAATACAGTAGTTAATTTACACATTAGTATTTTTCAGAAACATGTAGGACTTTTTAATGGATGCTGTATGTAACACCCTAATAAAACAGAGATAGAGTATAGAAACAAGAAAATTAAAGCTGTACTCCTTTCTAAGGTTCCCTTTGCAAATGTATTAAGTTTTGCATCTGTTTTAATGCAAATACTGAAAGCAAAAGCAAAAAGGAATATATATAGCACATTCTATTTTCTGAACATTCTTTAAAGCCCGAAATAGAAACATTAGTTTTGCTTACTTCATAAATTATTTTTTGATGTCTTATATGTTTAGCTGGAGTGGAAGTAACATCAGATGGGGGCAGCCTTTCCGTCTTCGACATATTACAACAGGAAAGTATTTGGCTCTGAATGAAGATGAAGGACTTGCAATGTTAGACCGAGAGAAGTCGGACACAACATCTACTGCCTTTTGTTTTAGAGCATCAAAGGTAAATAACACCAATGCACATTTGTCTTAAATGTGGAGCACTCAAATACTAGATCCGAGTTCGTTCAATGACTTTATAAATTATTTGTTATTTCTAAATTGAAGCAATTGACAGGAATTATGCATTTAAATACAAAGGTAAACGACCTGAGTCGAGCGTAACAAAGGTTTCCTTGAGGAAAAACAGGGAAGATGAATAAATTTTAGAGTAAACTAAACTGTTAACAGGTTAAAAAAACAAGATTGAAAACTAATACAGTGCAGGATATGGTGGTTTAATATGAATACTTTAATCATTATAGAATCATTTTAGTTGGACAGAATCTCATTAGAATTTTATTCCTTCCAGCTCTATCCGTCATAATTGAATTCATAGAATCATAGAATCATTTAGGTTGGAAAAGACCTTTAAGATCATCCAGTCCAACCATTAACCTAACATTACCAAGTCCACACTAAACCAATTAAGGGTATACTAGACTAAACCAAACCATGTCCCCAAGTGCCACGTCTACCCATTTTTTGAACACTTCCAGGGATGGTGACTCCACCACCTCTCTGGGCAGCCTGTTCCAATGCTTCACTACCCTTTCCGTGAAGAAATTTTTCCTAATGTCCAATCTAAACCTCCCCTCGTGCAGTTTGAGCCCATTTCCTCTTGTCCTATCGCTAGATTCTTGGGAGAAGAGCCCAACACCCAGCTTACTACAGCCTCCTTTCAGGTAGTTGTAGAGAGCGATAAGGTCTCCCCTCAGCCTCCTCTTCTCCAGGCTAAACAACCCCAGTTCCCTCAGCCGCTCCTCATAAGGCCTGTGCTCCAGACCCTTCACCAGCTTCGTTGCCCTTCTCTGAACACGCTCCAGCACCTCAGTGTCTTTCTTGTATTGAGGGGCCCAAAACTGGACACAGGATTCCAGGTGCGGCCTCACCAGCGCCGAGTACAGGGGAACAATCACTTCCCTGCTCCTGCTGGCCACACTATTCCTGATACAAGCCAGGATGCTGTTGGCCTTCTTGGCCACCTGGGCACACTGCTGGCTCATGTTCAGCCGGCTGTCAACCAGCACCCCCAGGTCCTTTTCGGCCAGTTCAGTTGGGCAGAGTTCTGCTCTTGCTATTCTTTGTGCGGTGTGTTGATAGGTGAATTGCAAGGAAGATGTAGTCAGTGATTTCTAAACCATATGTTTTCAAACTGTGCTCTTTAGTGAGCTGCTAATTGCATGTTACTAGCTTTTTCATCGTTTCCAGATGAGAAAAACAGTACAAGTGAGAGAGAATGAAGAATGATTATGGAGGTAGGCAAAATTAATAACTTTTCCAGAAAGCGAAAGGTTTTTACACCAAAGATGAGGAAAATTTTTTACGGCTTTCATGATATTACTTATAAATAGTTGTCATAGCTGCTACAATAGAGGTTTTTATTAAGTATGAGAAGTTAAATGTTCCATGTCGTTCAGAATACTGTATGGTCCCTGAAGGGCAGTGAAAAAGAATCTTTAAAGTTAGATATAAATCTAGCTTTAAGGGTCTTGACAGATGCTAGACTTTTGTTAGTATAGTAAAGCAAATAATTATTTTTAGCATGTGTAAAATAACTGTTTATTTTATTAGTGTGACTGCATATGGTATGCCAAGAATTTGTATTTTACCCAATCAAAATAATTGAAAAAAATATCAGGAAATTTCCTTAGACTGCTAGATGCTCACCAAATAGTTTTTTTGTTCTTTCTTCACTGTAAAGGCTGTGCAGTGTAGTTGTATGTATGATGTTGTGCAGGGGCATTTATTACAGCTGTAATTTTTTCCCATTTTTGACAAGTCATGGCACCCTGGTAAGGATGGTGAGTATGCTAGGAAAGCCGCGGTTGCTGGTTTAACTGGTTGTGTTCAAATTCCTATGACATACTCACTACCTAATTGGACACCAACTGTCCTGCAATTTCTTAATATTTTAATCTATGCATATAAATGTATAAATTTTAAATATATAAATTTTATGTTTATGTATGCATACTCATAAAGTAAATAATTTATGTTACATTGAATAAACATACCCTATTTTCTGACTCTTCTTGTTGAGGTGTGCTTCAAAGGCACTTTAGTGAAATTTGATACAATCCCTAAAATGACTAAGGTGAAGTACGGTAGTAATTAATTATGCAGAAGTCAATAATGACTGTGTAATGCATTCATTCCTTCTACTGTGTCTGTACATAATATGGTTATTAATGTACATTTTTATATCAAATACAAATTCAGTATCTCATCATTATACAGAAAAGAATATTTTTATCTCACAATAGATTATAAATTTGCTTTTGCCTGTGCCAAGAATAAGAATAGTTGTTTATTGTCTGGGCAGGTGAGAGCTGTACTGGCCCATGGGTAGAGACATTAGTGTTTCCAAAGGTGAGGGGAACAAGCAGTGATAACTCTTCCTGAAGAAAGAAAGGTGAGGTTTTGAAAGCAAATAAACCCCAAATATGGAGCTGGACTGTAAGAACAAAAGGACTCTTAAAGCCAAGTGCTGATTGCATACAGATTGAGGGGAAAAAGAATTGTAGAACTGATAGTTAGACTAGATATATGCAAATATGATTATCTTAATTTCTGCAAATATGTATCTGTAAACCTTTGTTTTCTCTTGTTTGTTTTCTCAATGAAGAAATATTTTCACTTGCCTGGACCTTAATATGGCATGAATTAAGGGAAATTTCAGGATAACTGTCTAATACTTTCCTATCCAGCTGTGTACAGATCCTTAAAAATAGGGCTCTGGAATACCTGGCTGTTTACAGTACTCCGGTCCTTTAGCATCATAGAATAATTCTGATTGGAAAGGACCTTGGGAAGTCATCTAGTCCAGCCTTCTGCTTCAGGTGGGGTCAACACTGAATTCAGAGCAGATTGCTCAGAATATACATTGCTGTGGAGTATCCAAAAGGAAATAAAAGATTTCTCCATTGAGGTATTCTTTCCAGTTTGGAAGCCAGCAAAAGGGGTTTTGTGGAAAAAAGAGATTATCTTTGCAGTAGGCAGAGCTATGTGGAGTATACCAAATCCCCAAGGCTTCCCAGGAGCCTGTAATACATGACTTAAAGTCTTATTTTTCCAACAGTTTTAAAGAGACCCTCTTGTTGAAAAAGCACACGTTCAGCCTCGGTATTGTTACATACCGCTTCAGCAGTCTTGTGTGTTCCGTGCTTTTCAAAACCTGTGATTGCATTCATAATGTATTTACTTTCACTGTTTTGTTTCCTTTTGCTGGGTAACACTGGAAATTGAAACAGATATTTTAAACTATAAAATTCAAATTAGAGTTTTCCTTAATATGTCCTTACATAAATAAGAATAGAAGGGAGCTTTTTAAAAAGTGGAAGAATATGCTAAAGAACATCATGACATTGATTTCAGTGAAAACAGCATATGCAATATATGTCTGTTTACTGCCAATTGTAGCAAACTAAGCTTACAAGCATCAGAAACTGACGGACACCCTCTCCTCCCCCAAATTATGCCTTTTGCTGGGTTTAATATGGAGCTTACTTTTGACAAAGTTTTAAAATGTCAACCTTTATATTTTAAAGCAACAGTTCTGTAATGCCTTGTGACCACAGGCAGCAGTTTCCCTGCAGCAGATGGAATCCTGTTTTGAAATGGGATGTTGTCATTCCAGCACAGTACTTGGCTCAGTATACTCTGCTGAGCAGAACCTTGTTTCTGCTTATAAATTTCTTTGAGAATAAACACAGTGAAGAACAAGGTCATATTTAAAAATATTTGTTTATTTAAAAAATTTTTTAGCCCAGAATTAATATTTGATATTTCATATTTTATTTTCATGATGGCACATACAATTGACAATGAAGAAATTATTGGTGTAGTCTGAGTAACATTCTGACACATTCAAAAGTCACAGATGACTCATGCAGAAGGATTTGATATCATTTTAATATTACTGCCAGCATGTAGCTATCTTAGGGGCTCAACATGGCATTAGGATGTCGTAAGAGTTTAGTAGTAATCATAAAGTTCAATTCTGTTTTGGAATAAGATGATAGGTATTAAAAGTTCATATTTTATGATTATCATTTCCCAGTAAGCACTGCATTTCAAATACAGTATTACACTATTTTTTCTACTTATTTTATATGGGAGGAGAAAACAGAAGGTAAAATTAAAATCACCTTTTTTTTCCTTGCCTACTGGGCTGTGGTAAGTATACAGCAAAGTAAACAGAGTACAGTAAGCCCACTAGCAAGATAGGTAGGCTCAATGTATCAGTCCTCTGCAGACCTTTTATCTTTTTCTTTTGTTAAATTGGGGTGGCCTATGGCAGTACTTTTAATGCAGTAATGGTGTGCAACACCAAAAGATACAATTTTAATTAGCTCATGTAGGTTAGATTTAGTAGAGTTCAGCAGTCAGGTTGTCTTACTATTCTTAGGGGTATGTAAACAAGCCCTTAAGATATCAAGAGTTTTTTCCCTACTGTGTTTTTACGAGACGACTGTTGAAAAATCATTGTAAAGACAGTTGGGTTTATTTGTCCTGTTCACACTGGCATTCCTTACCTTCCTTCCATCATGTAGGAATCTATGATTCTATGAATTCTGTCATTTTCTAAATCTTGCCCTTCTAGTACATTAAATATCTTGTGAAAATTGCATCTTTGAAAGCTTGCCCGCAAGTTCCTTTGTTCATTCCTTCTTTCTTTTTTTTTATTTTTTGTTACTGTTGTTTTTCCTTTGCCATCTTCCAGACACATGATGTGATTTGTTTTCTCCAACTTGATTCATTCATGGCCTGAGGGAGTTAAACTGAGAATAGGTTGCAAAGAGAGGGTTTTGAAGGAGAAAGCATTTGGATATTTTGCTAAGATATGTACAAATATCTAGATAAGAGATATTTTTTCCCCTTCTCCCCCAATAATCTGACTATACTTTTCAGCTGTTAGAAAGTACACCCTCTCTATGCACACTGCTATCAAATGACTTGGCTGAAATCCTAGAGAAACTGGACACAGCACAAAGAGCAAAACATCACGAAGAGGAATTCATGCTGTATTGCTTAAAGTACAAACAGCCTTCAGGTCCCCAAAATAATTCTAAAGCTTTATTTCTGAAATTTGAAAAATCTTGTTTTTTCTTTAAGTTTAGTGTCATCAAAAAGGATCAGTTTCACTTGTTTTTTTAAAACAGTAACTTAACTAGGATCACTTGTTACCACATTGCAATTTCTTTCATTGAAATTTTCATTGATGCTTGATTCTTGACACAGACATAATATTTGAGAAAAATGTTTTAATCTTCAGGCTGCTATGTAAAGCCAAATAATTAATTGCTGACAGTTAATGAATTTGTGCTATTTTACTCTATTTTTCATTTAATGGCCTCATCGTAAATGTGTATTGAAAGAGTTCATCTTTATCTGTATGTTGATAGTGTAGTCCGCATAAATATGATGTGATGTGACTTCCCTGTGGTCTTGATATTGTAATGGTATCCCCAAGGAGTGTCTTGTCATTTCATTCTACTTCATCTTGGCATTATAATGCTATCTGTTTCAACTAAAATTATTGTTGAAATGTGACAGCTAAATTCCATATAAATGAAAGTAAATTAGCATAGTTAAAATAGAACTTCTCTTTACTCCACAGATGTTGAACATTCAGTAAACTGAAATGAAATAAGAAAACCTTTTACATGTATAATAATTTAAACTGTGTATCAATGTCTGGCATATTTTCCTTACTTAGCAACAAATAAGCAACTATCTACACTTAAGGTTAAGTCCATCAGCATTTGAAATCATAGAAAAATGATAGAACCTAATTACTCTATTAGAGTTTTTTGTTTAATCGCACACATGCACATGGATCTATAATTTACTATTACAGAATTTGCTGCATAATTCCGGTTTTATTCCTAAATTCAATTTTGAAAGGAAAAGTATTTTATTTTAAAGAAACAGATACTTGCTTTTGTGCTGGAGACTTAAAATCCTCTGGTTGTGAATGAAGAATAATGGGATTAAGAAATAGATTGGGCTTAAAAATTGTGCTGGGTGTTCCAGCCAATCATTGAGCAATGTCTTTAAAGGAGATTTGAAAGAATCCAATTCCTCTTACAAAAAGGATAAATGGAAAAATAAAATAATTGTAAAAAAAATAAGAAATGCAAGTTTAAAATAAATGTAAAAGCCAAATCATACTTATTTTAAAAAATTAATATTTTCTTCTTTGCTGGTTATTGTAATACAGAGGCATTATTCCAAGTGAAGTTTTTATCTGCATATACTATTTATAAGCAAAAAATTATTTACTATAAAAATATTTTAACTAAATTTCAAAATATGTTTCTGCTCATTTTACTTTCATATTTAAGCTAAAATTTGAAAATTTTAGTAATATAGAGTTGTACAGACTCTACTAAACTGAAACTTTAAATCAGTAACTCAATTATCGATTAGGTTAGGTTAAATATTTAAAGATTTTATATATATATCTTTACATGGTAATGGATTTTACTTGATTTTCTTGCTTCAGTGAAAGTGATGCTTCAGATTTGAAATTATTTTTCATCAGAATCTGACTAATTAGTTGGCTAGAAAAAAATCATGTGAAATGAAATTTAGCTGCATCTTAACGACATAAGTAGCATAAACATTGTTCAGTGTTGGAACGTGTTTCACTGTAGAATTCAATGGTTTATCTGGTTCCAGTACAGAGATTAAATGCCAGCTTTTATTTTATCTTCTTAGGAGCTAAAAGAAAAGCAGGATTCTAGTCTTAAACGTGAAATTGATGGAATGGGAGTCCCAGAAATAAAGTACGGTGATTCAGTCTGTTTTGTCCAACATGTGGCCAGTGCCTTGTGGTTGACTTACAAAGCACAAGACGCTAAATCAGCACGTTTAGGTCCCTTGAAAAGAAAGGTAATGTTTGAGGGTTTTTTTAAATTACTTGTAAAATGAATGTTGGTTGCATAATGGTTTTGGTCTATCTTGTTTTTTGCCATTCTACCAATGTGGCAATTGTGGGTTTAATTGTTTTGTGATGTTTTATTGAAAATGATGTGAATGTTTCATTCTAAAAATGAAAATAATGGTGGATAATAATGTAACTATGTAACTGAAGAAAAACTTTGCACTAAGAAATGTATTTAGCTATTTTTCTTGCCAGAAGAAATTATTAATTTGGGCTCAATTTTTATTTTTGACACTTCAGTAAAATATGGAAATTCCTGTTTTGGATGGTCAAATCACTTTTTTGAAAATCTACATTTAACTCTTAAGGGTGTAAACTTGTAAGTTATCTTACATTCACTGGTGTTTTGGTTTTTTTAATTGAGTATATTATATGAAATGGCAATTAAATTTGTTAGTCAAGAAACTAGAAACTCCTCATGTTTCTTAAGGGATATTAGTGAACAATTTCCTGCCAAAATGTTAGATGTAATTGTGATGTGGCATCGAGAAGGTCTTTCTCTCAGCCTTTTGATTATAGGGTACGAGTATATTCTTAATTAGGGGCATATGACCTGTTATGTCTTCAAATTATGTTTACATTTCATTCAGAATTGAAGGGGTTAGTACTAGCTTCACATAATGCATCATTACCAAATGATTCTTTGGTTCTGTATGCATAGATTTTTACAACTTGAACATATCGTTAGAACATGAAAAAGGAAAAGTTCATACTAAACAGAAGTTGGAATTTTTCTTTAATTACTTGTACATGATACCCATACACAAGCACTGTAACACAAAAAATGAGGTCCTCAGCACACCCTTGGCACAATCTCATTTATTTATGCAGCACACATGGTCATAAACAGGCAGTGAGTGCCCAACCCCTTCATTTCTTCTCAGCAACCTGGTTGATCACAGAAATTCTTCTTTGTATGCCAGTCATTCAGTATTTTCTTGATAAGAGTTTTAATCATGCAGTGATGGCCACGTCCTTTCCTATGCCAGTATTGGCTATGGGATTCTGTTTCCTCAGCTAAATATTTTCTTGATAAGAGTTTTAGTCATGCAATGATGGCCACCTCCTTTCCTATGCCAGTATTGGCTATGGGATTCTGTTTCCTCAGAGGGTCCAGTTTTACTTCTTTAAAAAGCAACATGTAGATTCTTCCTCTGTATTCAATGAAGAATTTTGCAATAGCATTCTGTGAAGTTTAGTATTTTTTTCCTCAGTTTTCTGCTCAGCAGTGGGGGACTGAAAGAACATCGTTAATTGCCTGTCACTTTTATTCTCCTTTCAAACTGTTTCATTCATGTTCCAAGACTCCAAATCTTTTGTTGCCCTCTCACCTGGAGAATTCTCTCCTGTTAAGTGCCTTCAAACAGAAGAAAACCCAAATCTTGTTGCTTCCTGTAATTGATATTCCTGTGGAGGCAAGAAACAGTTTTTCATCCTCTGCAAAATATGGTACTAGACTATAAGTTTGTAAGCAAGTTTAGATATACATGTCCCTTTAAATTTCATAAAAAATTTAATTTTCTACAGTAAAAATGAAGTCATAGCTTTGTATGCGTCCTCCACCATCACTTCATCAGGAGATTTTCACTTTCAGTCACTCTAATCCTTCTCAAGCTGACCTGCACTTTTTGTAACATGCCTCAGTAGCCCTAGGAGGATTGAGAAATACCTTATTTTTGCAAGAGACAACGGGTGTTTTTTTTCACATAACCTAGGTATTATCACTGACAGCTGCTGCAAATCTGTAGAGAGGAGAAAACAACTATAGGATTAGTCCTGTCATAAAATACTCAAAATGGCAAGTAAAAATTCCTGTTGTTTGGCTTTGGTGTAGTTTCATGTATCTAGTATCATGCTGTCTTTGCAAGACACAAATATGTAAGAAATTCTGGCATCATTTATGAGGCTTCTGTTGCACGATTTCTGCCAGAATTTTGATTTGTTGTCTCTGTCTCTCATTCTGAGACCTTGGTAACCAAGGGTTCAAGACTTTGCCAGGCAGTGAAGATATTTACATCAATATTCTATTCAACATTCCTCCACCATCCAGCGTGAGTGATGGATGCCTATCTTTTCAGTTTGAGAGCTTGCTTCTGTGCAAGCTATGAACTCCTGCAGAGCTCCAGAATGCTAGAGCTCAGAGAAACATATGCTACGTGTTTTGGATTCACGTCCTGGAGACCGTTGCTCAGGGTATTGGTCAATACCAATGCCCTGCTGTACCTCAACAAGCGAGGCAGTGCCAAATGCCCCTTTATATGCAGTGAAGTGGTTTATCTGAGGAATTGGAATAGGTGGTGGTGGATGCTTCTGACCATGATCTACTTGCTGGAGTTCTAAATAGCACTTCCCTGTCGTCGTTGTGCTTCTGGATGATTTAGTTGAGGCTTTGGGGTTTGGGTTGGGTTTTTTTTTTTTCGTCGGAGGAATAGGGAAGATTAGGTCCTTCTAAAAGACTTACCTCTTCCCTCAGCTACTGCATACTTAGGGAGAAGACCGTATATCTGCTACACAATGGTGAAGGTGCAATTACTTTGCAAGGTGTGGCAGATTTAATATCCTATCTGTCAAATGTTTTCATTCCTGTAGTTCCAAAATATGGAGCTATGTGTAATGGCCTGAGGAAACATTATCTGATTGTCAAATGTTTTCTTACTAGTTTTGTGATGGGAAGAATGGTTCTTTAGTTACTCTTCAGTTAAGAGCCCCCAGAGCCCTTCTTTAAGGAAACTGGTATTTCAGCTAAGAGTCGCCCCCAGTGTGACTCCATATAAAGAAGTACTTGAACAAAGAGGAAAGATGACCAGTAGGTAAACTAGTCTCCTTTAAGATAATATTATCAATATGCCAATTCAAAAAAGTCTTCCTAGTCTTCTCCATCACATTTCCATGGATTTTGGGGTCCAGATAAACTCATAGGGTGATATTTGCCCCTTTTAAAAGCCCTTCCTCAGCATGTTGGAAGGAACAAAGGATGTGTACTTTTGATCCTGCCAAGTACAGAAAAACATCACTTTCCAATGCTTTGGTATATCTATATGCCAGTATGTACAAAAAGCTATGGGTAAATAACCTTCCCATTTGTGGCAGTAACCACCTGTATAACATGATTAGTTTCTTTGTTAATGATTCATTACCTTCAGAATTACTCAGCTAACTGGGAAGTTGGGCAGCAAATTTTTACTTTCTCAGAGCTAAAAAAATACATTTTTCAGTGGAGAATTCAATAGGTTGCATCTTGGCAAAGAAGCAGGATAGCTCACATTTAATTCTTACAAAAGTGCTGTAGGATTTTAATGACTCAAAATGATCAAGAGTTGGTTTTGTGATACCTAAAAATTATGCTGGCTTTTTGTGAAATTGGGTATTTATTTAAAGGGAAAAATTAAAAACCCAGCAAAGAATCTCTGTTATTGCTTGAAGTTCATGTGATGTTCACATCTGGTTCTGATAAGAATCCAACATAATGTGTAGAGAAGAGTTAAATGAGTCAGAACTTACTCATAAATGTTGTTGCTCCTTTAGCCGCATTGTAATTTTCACGATGTTTGTCACTCCAGCTTGATTTTCTTGTCAGTAGTCTTTTCATGTGTGAATCCTTTAGTAAGTGATGCTTGAGATAGTGAAGATC